CAGGTGACCAAGAGAGATTACGCAACACCCGAGGAATGGAAGAAATGGCAATGGCGATCGGAAGGGGACTTGTTCACGAACGGGGCCTTCTTTACTGAGTCGGGCCCACCACTCGAACACAAGAAAAGCCCGTTAGCAGGGCAGAATTTGATCAAATTCAAGCCCGGATCATACGTGGGAAGGCTCACACGAGCTGCCGGGGCCATCAAGTGCAGCGTGAACAGCTTCTGTTAATCAAATTTCGGGTTTTTTCGGGCAAAATTTACGTAACTTTGGCATTTTTTTTCATTTTTTTTTTTTTCTGTTTGGATTGGTTAAGAGGGGAATAAGTAAAACAGAGATGTTAAAACTGGAAAGTGAAGAGAATTAATTCTCCTCATGTGATGAATTATTATTAATTAACAATATTAAGTCAAAAATTGTGTTCTTTTTAATTTGTTTGTATTATTATTGATAGGTCGGAAAATGTGCGTGTTTTATATATTTAATAGTGTATTTTTATTCACTTAATTTATTCGCACATTTATATTTTTCGACCTATTTATTATTTGAATGGATTCATATACATTGATATTTTTATGTATTATTTTCAGTATTTTGGAATATCTTGTGGATCTGTTGAAATGGATGGAGTTCGCGTGATCAATTATCGGCTCGAATTAAGGCGAAAAATTGATGTTATCTTGGTCCGTTGGACCATGGCCCAAAACAGTGGCACAAGCTCAATTATTTGGACAACTGAGGAGACCAAAAAAATAACACACGTAGCTCACAAAGTTTGAGGGGGGATTTATTTGATGTGGGATATTCAAGAAATGATTTTAGTTTTATTTGATATTTATATTTCTAGCCAAGCATTTTTATTGGAGGAAAAAAAAAAGAGACTCCCTCACACACGCATCATATCGGCAACAAGGATTTATTTGGGAGACTCCACGCAGGACAAGGGGATTGTATTTTTTTGACGTGGGGAAAAAAGGCGGAGACAGGCCATAAACAAAAAAAGACGAGAAGAAATTCACGCAGACAGAGGGAAGGAACGCACGACGGAAGAGGCTACAAACGCGGAGGGAAGTCGCAATCGCACACGAGGGAGATATTCATGCTCTCTCTTTTATCTATATTTTATTTTTATTAGCATGGTAGTTTAGTATTTTTATCCAGTTTAAGGGGATGTTTGAACCCTAACTTTAATTTGTCTATGAATTGAAGGATCTATTTTTTATCGTTGATTAATCGAGACGTCATATTTATTTTTGTTGTTGAGTTGATTCATGTTATCTGTGTTTAATGTTTATGAATTATGGTGTTTGATTTAGTTTGGTCAGCTAAGTTGAATATTCATAGTTTAATTGCTAGATTCGAGACCTTAATCCGTAATTGTTATTGTCTCGTTTCGTTAGTAGTAAACTAGGGGTCGTGCATCCTTAGGGTAGCGTGAGCATAAGTTAAATGGTCCGAGCTTTTGCGTCCATTACTTAGACTGATCTATTTTCCTAGAAATTAATGCTGCTAGTGTATTAAATCTAGAGAGCTTATTCTAGGTTGTCCGCTAGTTAGGTTTAGTCGAAGAGCCTATTTCCATTAAATATTCGTTAAGGGAAAATTCGGGTAACAGAGCTTGTTGTTAGCTAGGGTCGGTAATTCATTAGCAATTTGAAGAAAGCGTCAAAATTAATTAACGGTAGATTTAGATTGGGTGATAACTGAACCGAAAAACTAAACTTCTCTCATTTTATTAGATTTTTATTTGATTTTCTTATTTTTATTTTTATTTTTATAAAATCAATCCCCCATTTACTGCTTTCCTAGTTTAATTCAAATAATACGAGATTGTCGCAATTTAATTCCTGCTCCTCGTGGGATTGACCCTTACTCGCCATTACTACTTGTTAGTAGAGGTTATTTGAAGAAAAATAATATAAATTTAAATTTGCCGTGTCGCGACGCGCGGTCAATTATGTATATGCATGTAATATATTGTGGGGGTATCATTTTTGGGGCCGTAATATATATAATCAATTGAGTTATAATCAACATACTAGCTTCTTCTACTGTGTGTCATTTTTCCTTTTTTGGTCCTTTTTAAATCAACTCTTTTCCTGCTAGAAATATCTTGATCTTTGCAAAATGTTCTTTCTATCACTAGACTAGTTCAATTCTCATAAATAGAAACAATTGGCAAAAGGCCCATTAAATAAAAACAGTATCTAAAAAAAGTTTAATTAATTAATTGAAAGAGTTCTATTTTAAAATTTTAAAACATTTTGTTAAAACTTTATTATTTTTATTTAATTTATATTTATAAAGATATATATTATTTTATATCTGGAATATGAATATGAAATCAAAAGTTGTAATTTGATATGTTATACATAAAATATTGACAACAAATAAAAAAAACTTATTAAATTTCGAAATTTATTTATAATTTTTAAGTTAATAATGAATTTCCTACCAGGAATAGGAAAAATCTATATTAACTACTATATATACCACAGTACTCTTGTTTTTTCTTTCAACATTCGTTTTACACAAATTGAAAAAATTTGCAATCTTGGCTGATCTCATCGGTGACGAGGATTTACTATTTTACGTTATCGCCGACGCAAAAGTCCGCCGGAAAACTTCATTCTTCTCCGGCCACCGAACCGCGAAAATCAACCTCAAGTTTTCCGGCAAGTACCGGTCGTCCTATTCCGCCAAGCACCGGCATTCCGGCGAACAGCGCCTTCTCGAAAGAGAGGAGCATCCCCTCCCCGAGGCCTCGAACTCGGGCTCGCGGGCTGGCCCGGCCGGGCCCGGCCCGAAAGCGCGAACGTCTAATCCGCTCCGCGTTGGAAAAAGCCCGGTTAGAATCTTTGAAAAGCTCGGTTGACCTTCACTTTCGAGTCAACGTGAGTCGAAACGTGCTCGTTTCTTACGTCGACACGTGGAATTATTCCGAGGGTGATGATGTCCTCATGATGCGAGCTTCGGAATTGTCGATCGGGAGATTGAAGGAGGAGTTGGTGGTGCCGGAGGAGGATAAGACGAGGTGCTCGATTTGCATGGAGGATGTCTTTTGTGGGTCCCGCGGCTTGGTTATGCCGTGCCGCCACGTGTATCACCGGGATTGCATCGAGAGGTGGCTACGGACGAGCCACTATTGTCCGGTTTGCCGTTTCGAGATGTCGACATGTTAGATTTTTCGGGTTTTAGGCAAAAATGCATTTTTGGTCATGATGGTTTCACCTCATATTAATTTTAGTCTCGAGGTTCTAACTTTACGCCTTTTGATCATGTGATTTAATAATTTACTGCAATTTTAATCATTTGGGAACTGAAATTGCGACAAATTTTTAAATTAAAAGACTTAAATTGTTAATAAAGAAACCAATCCAAAGATATAAATCGGGAATATGTTGTAATTTTAGTCCTCGAAGGACTGAAATTGCAGCAGAATATTAAATGTTAGAATTTTAGGACTTAAATTACAATGTCGTTAAACCAATATGACTAAAAATGCAATTTAAACTTTTTTTTTTTTGTTATCTGCCTACACTGAGATCCGAGCAGTCGGATATCATACATGATACTTGGAACTTAGAGTGCAATTGTACTTTGTGTCTTAAAATTTCTATCCGAGTTAAGCTATATTGTATTCATTAAACTCTCAAAACAAAGAAGGAACATATCAAATAAAGAAGAAAGAAAAATGAATACATAACACCATGAAAATCAATTCACATTGCTCTCCACACCAAAGCCTACATTTTTTTTTTGTTCTTTTGCTTCTCTTTTTTTCTCTTCTTTCTCTAGTGATTGTTCTATCTGTACAAAAGAATGGCTTATATAGCCAAGAACTATATGGAACAATGGAGGGCCATATCCAAGTTCCATTTAACACAAACAAATCAATAACAGCAATCGATTTTCACACGAATCACCTAGAATGCTCTCTGTAGCACCCTGGTTAA